CCCCCCCCCCCAATTTGGTTTCAGCCAGAACCACTCACCTTTGTAACGGTGGCATTTGCTTACACATCTCATGAAAGATTTCCTTTGAACAAGGTGCTAAAGAATGAAAACCGTTGTCGTATGTTATCCTCAAGGGTTAAAGAAAATGTGTACGTTAGCTGTATCTGGTTCAGACCAACCCTGCAGTAAATACATCAGTATTGACAAAATTTAGGCTTTTTGTAACACCGGAGTCGGTTAGATTTACATATAGTGGTAGCTCATGGAGTGAGTGGTGTTTGGAAGCTCCATCCAGGTGCCAGTTTCTAGAGCTACCCCCTCCCTCCCAACCACCAATCTTCATCCAGGAACAGTCACTGCCCTGGCCAGAGGTGACTGCATGTCAAAACTGAGGAATCCAGATGTTGACTCTTAACTGTCAGTTCTAAAATGTCCACTGAATTAGGTATCTTACAAAGAGCCAAGAGTCAATTGGTAGATAGCCCTAGCTAAAGCTTAGTAAGAGAAAATAGCTGGAAACCATGAATGAATATATAAAAAACGTAAAATAAGTTTACACACCTTTGATTACTCATCTCAGTACATGAAATGCACAATCCAGACGATGGGTAGCACTTCACTTATCTTATCTATGCCTGTCTGTATTTCTTTTTCACTAGTACTAATAAGCTTCTATAACTGATAATTCTTTATGAAAATCAACAAAAACAGAAACCATAAATTTAGAAGTTAAAGAGCCAGTTTGCTACCATGAAATGTGTATATGTTTTTAGATCCATGATTTCTTTTGGGACAATATACCCAGTTTAATACAGGAATTTAGTTCACATACCAACAGAGGTGAGAAAAAAAAAGTCCAGAACTGTTATTTATTCTTTTCACAAGAAAAATCTTTCTTCCTAATTAATCAAACTATAATTCCTAAACAGTCTTTATTTCTAAATAAAACCCAAAATCTCACATAGATAAAAATGGCAAAAGCAGACTTCAATACTTATCAACTATGAGGGAAAAGCAGTAAAGTGTATTGTGCTAATGGGGAGGTGTATCCTTCATGAACCCCAAATTTAGAAAATCATGTAGCATTCCCTTAACTAAAAATAAAACACAAATGAGGGAAGAGAATGTACATTTATATATTATTAACATTTTGAGTCTAATTCTCTTTAATTGGGAGTTTATTGGCAAAACCTAATAAACATGGTATCTGAAAATGTGGTCTGGGACTATAAAAAGCTCTTTACCAAAGTTAAATTTCGCCTGATTTCACAATCGCATTTACTCCGGAAGATTTGTCTAAGGACTTAGGGAGCCCCTCATTATATAGTTTGTCATTTTATTATGAAATATCACTTTAATTCAATATATTAGCAGTATTTGGCCTGTAGAGTATGACATTTAAAAAACACACAAAATGTTAATTTTGGGCAACAACTTTTAACAAAGTATAAACCTTTAAAAATTCTAAAAGCCCTAGAAATCAGGCTGGATGCATTTTAATTGTGGATAAAAAATTAATGGGATTTTAAACTACTAAATCTACACTTTTCCCTGTGAACATAGTATGTATCTTACTTTCCTTAAAACTATTTTGGAGCTAGTCAACACCCAAAAATAAAATCATTGTTATTCCTATCTTGGTTTATAATTTAATAAGTCAATGTTATCTTAGCCAACAACACAGGCAACCTGCATTATGCCAGATATATAAAACTGATACAGAAATCTAAAAGCTTTAAAATATTAGAACTGAAGGCTTTCTGCATTTGTAAATTAATGGCTTTTGGGAAGGGGGAACTACAGTGCTTAAAGAGACCAAACATCTTAAAAATCTACAACAAAAGGGAAAACCTACTGATACTAGTTTTTAAAACTCGCAAGTTATAATAATGTAAAACAAATTTGCCATTTTACCTGATTTTCAATATGCTTATACATGCAATATAAATTATAAATATTTATAACATTATAACACCATCTAAAAGAAAACAATGATGTACAAAAATCTTTATGATAAATAAAATTATTGCATTTAATGTCATTTTCTTAAAAACTGAAATCATTGAATTCTTTAATGTTGTATTGAACATAAACAAGACCAGTTCAAATTAGAGGAAATGTATGCCAACACCAGCTTCTGACAACAGAAATACAAAAGTTAAAGCCCTGCAAGTTCGTCTGATTTAGGTTGGGTAATCATGGAAACAAGGGAATACTTAAAATTATTTATTTTATCATTATGCACAATGAAGGAGAGGATTATAGACAGTAGAGTTCTTTCCCACCATAAAATTATTTACACCCATTTATTCCGCTAGAAACACTAGCTTGAAGAGGTACTGGTAAATTCCATTTGAAATAGTTTCCCTACAGCAAACAACTGCCCTATGATGGAGTGCGTTGACAAAAACATTGTCTCACAATCCTTTTTGTTCTTCTGAGTCTCAGTCACAAGTGCCAGGTGCTCCACAGGATCCCGGTGTCCTGCACGGCGTGGTGAGGCGTGGAAGTCAAGGGCGCGTCTGTGCCCTGAACATCCTCAGGCCCGTGCAGAGCCGCCTGGGCGCCCGCACCCCGCTGGCGCGGCACCTGCGGGACGCCGCTAGGACAGCTTCACACCGATTTTGTTGGGCTCCTTTTTCATGAGCCGCTGCGCCTCCTTCTCCATCTTCTTTCTTTGCTGCTCTGCGGCTCTCTTTTCTCTGTCTGCTATCTTCTGCTGCCTGGAAGGAAACAGATTCTTATTCCGGCTTTCAGGAAACACCATGCAGGGAAAATGGCACATACGTTCCAGGAAGAAACAGTGCCTTTTACCAGCAGCTCTTTTCACTGCTTGGAGAACCTCAAAGATATTCAAAAACAGAACTTCTTTTAACCCACAGAACACGACTTACAAATTAAAAGCGGTGTTATCTGCATTTTACAAACAAGTGAAAGGGGGCAAAGGCTAAGACTAAGTACAGGGTAATAGGGAGCCACACCTCCTGGCCCTGCCTCAGAGCATTTCCACCAAAACACAGCTTCCAGTGGACCTTCCATTGGGCCACATCTTTTTTTTTTCATACCACTCAGAAAAGCCTGATATTGAGGATTCAGTCTCTTGTTATTAAAATAATTAAAAACCAGTCAGTGAAGGATGTCAAGAACACAGATATGCCTTCCAACTAGAAGCCAGATTTCTACTGACGGGTTAGCATTTGATCAGCTCTACTAACTAAGGGGCAGAATGGAGGGCATTTACTTATTACACATCGTGAGAGTAGAGTGGGTGATGCAACAGGCCACAGGACAGGAACAGAAGCTGGTCCTACATCTGAAGGTTAAGGGTATGAGGAAGAAAGCTGTAGGTCACAGCTGGGCCCCCATAGGCCACGCCAGGTTATATGCAGAAAAATCTAGTGTGGATTACCTACGTATGGGACAGCAGGCTGACTACAGTGAGTGAAACATGTACACAAATCTCAATCATACGTATAACTGGGAGTAATAAGAGTTATAAATGATCAAAATTCAAGAAAGTAGAGACTTGCTTTAGGCAACATTTTGACCATCACCATCAATTAACTAGTTTCAAAAGAATAGTTTTTAAAAATCTAGTTTTCACTAGCTCTTCCCACTTCAAACAAAGGTGATAATTTGCACTAAAAACATCAAAATGCCCATAGGAAAAGAATGATAAAAGGCTGTTTAGGTTACAAACAAGTAAGATAATCAGGCTTTGACCTGATCAGTAGCTGAAATATAAACATCAACAATTAATGTTTCTAGTACAAGATGAAACTTAAGGATCACTGCAGACAAAACATGTATTCCCTGTTGATACACGCCGGGAACTTCTGAAGTACCCAAGTGTTCTTCCTGAACGAGGCTGATCACAGCAGTGGTGGGAGTTTAACGTGGCAGCGGGAGACAGGCTGAGTGAGAGGGTGTGGAGCACGGACATACTGGTAAAGTTCTCAGTGCTCCTTCGGGGGCAGTAACAACAGACGGAGGCTCCCTGTCTCTGTGCTTCTACTTACGCAACTTTGCAGCCTGAAGCATGTCTTTTACTGACTAAGGCTCCTCTCAAGCTGTTGTAGCATGTAAAACACTGTTTGGGTTTTTCGGTCTTGTTTCGTTCAGGGTATAAGATGACAGGGTGGGAAAGAGAAGGTTTTGTACAGTAAATGTTCAGATACTTGTGAACTCATACGCTCTCCAGTGCTGTCACTAAGATTGCTGGATTCAAATGGACAGCCCTTTCCTTTATCCTGTGTTTACTAGAATCCCTGATATAAAATACTCAGAATTCAGTATCTATGATTTAGCCCCCCAAAAAAGACTAAAAAATAGATGGTTTATCTTTTTTGATGACCCATACAATATAAATGCTGCCATTTAGAATTTTGGAAATATTTCCTTAATACTGGATAATGATGAAATAGGAACTAGATATTTAGAACTCTCAACATTACTGACTTTTAAAATGGAACCCTTACTGTGGGGAAAAAAATGCTGAAAACAAGGACAAGACCAAAAAAGAAAGTCAGTTAGGGCTCCCAGTTACTTAACGGCACCCTCTGCTGGTTGTTCGAGGCAATAGAAATTTATTGATAAAGGCAGGAATGAAAAATACAAAAATGAAATCAGTTGTTTTGTTAAAATAGTCAGATAAAGGGTAATTCATTTTCTATCCCTATTATAAAAACAATCTTTTAAAATAAAAACTTATACAGCTGTATTTTATTATATCATCTTTCAAAATGCAAAAGTAACTTAGACACATTTAAATATCTGAGTTTTCATCAATGATGAGTCGCAAACTCTCGTAAGGTAAATTTTCTTTTTATTCTTTGACCTCATCCAGCAGTAGCAAGAATTAAGTTTATTGCTCACAAAAAAAAAAAAAAAAAAAAAAAGAATGTACCAACCAACAAAAATAAACTTGAAAACCTCCAGTATATTTTCTTTTCTGTAGAATGGGCTATATCTGACTTATGTTATCTATCTCATAGGGCTTCCGAGTGCTTCAATTAAGATACATACACAACTGTAGAATGATATGTTATTTTACTTCAAATTTGAGGGGCTAGGCACTATGCTAGATGATGGGGAAACAAAAATAAAGGTATAATTTCTGACCTGGAGGAATATGTAGTGGTGACTCACATTTCATAGTAGGATATTTCAAGAGATAAGTACATTTTACAGGGAATGAAATATAAAGTATATAGTGCAATATGGTGTATATATGTAAAAGATCTCATTTGCCATTAATAAAAATTATTCTTTTGCTTATATAATACTTTCAATTCTTGATTTCTGTGAGGTTATATAAAATAGCATATGTGGTCTGAAATACAACAAAAGTATCCCATATTATCTAAGGTTCAGATGGGAATGAAGACAAATGTAACACTTGGCAGAATAAGCTTTCTTGACCGCAAGTGTACCATGAACAAACCTAGCCCTTCTATTCAGGTAGCAACGTAATCATTATTCAGATACCTCAGAACTTCTTCTGCTTGCCAGGCTGCGTCGTCTCCTTCTTCCCAGGCATTGGTGTTTTCCTGCCAGGTGTCCAAATCACCTAATTCAGGCTACAATAAAAACAAAACAAAATTGCAAGAGTCAAGAGCCATTCTTTCCTCCCCAGCAGTCAAGAAGACACCTTTTAAAACATAACCCAGACCCTGTCATTTCCTTGTGCCTGCTCCAGGTCCATTCCATGTCACCATGTCCTTCTACACAAGGCCCAAATGATGTGGCCCTGGTTTGCCTGCAAATTCTTTGGTACACCTTCTTTCAAGAGGTGGAGCTTTATTCTACTCCCCTTACACGTGGGCTAGATTTAGTGACTAGCTTCCAATGAATAAAATAATGTGGAGGTGACAATGTGTCACTTATAAAGTTAAGTCATAAACAGGCATTGTGGCTTCATCCCTGCATGCTCTCTTTTTCTTGGGGATCACTTGTTCTGGGAAAGTCAGCAGCAAGGAACTAAGGCTTTGTGCAACCAACCAGCATTAATTTTCCAGGCATGTAAGTGAAACACCTTTGAAATGGATCCTCCAATTCCAGTTGAACCTTCGGGTGACTACAGTCCTAGCTAATGACCTGTTTGGAAACTCATTAGAAACTCTGAGCTAGAATCACCCAGTTTAGTCTCCCCTGGATGCCTGACCCATATAAACTACAAGAGAGGAAAAATGTTTGTTGTTGTTTAGGTCTGGATCTGGGAGTTTTTAAAAAGTTCAAAGGTGATTCTGATAGGTTTCCAAGGTTGAGAACCACAATTATATACTGTTCTCACTACTTTTGTTGCATTTAAGTCAAACACGTTTAAAGTCACTTTAAAGGTAAATAAAATCTACTAGGGAAACAATTCACAACTCACTTAAAAATAACCTGCTATTATGGTTAAATTTTACTAGTAATCTCTTTAAAGGTCATATTTTTAAATAACATTTTGTCTCTATCTTTCATGTGTACAATGGGACTCTGATGCTCATATCTGATGTAATTTACAATCTCAAAGGACAAGAATAGTAAAACTCCAGATTAACCTCTCTCAATCTGCTAAACCAGTTTCAAAGTAATAGAAATACAAATACTATGTGCAATTCATTTTGATCTTTTAAGAAAACAGAATCAAAACAACCCTTGCTTAGACACCATTAATATTTATATTATACTTACTGATTGATGAATAAATGGCATATCTTGTGTAGCTGCTAATCTACTAGAAAAACCTGTGCTACCATCTGGGATGCCAAAATTTAATGGTTCTCTCTTCTTAATAATGATCTGCAAGATTAATTGAAATAGAATTACAGGAATATTTTATACATCACTATATAAAAAGACAAAATAATTAACTGACCAAAGCATTTTATAATTATTTAAAATGTTTTACCTTTCTTTTAAACTGTACAATTTTAAATAATTTTTTAAATAGTGTATAAAAAGTACCAAAATTCCTAGGCAATTGTCATACAAATCAGTTACATACTAGAAATACTGTATTTCTCTTAAAAAAATAATAATAGTTTCCCCTTCCTCATTCCTTTTTCCCTTCTTAGACCCCAGACCCCGAAAATGTAATTAGGTACTTTTGGTCATGGTATTCAATAAGAACAAAAATTATGCTTTATCAAAAGTATAACTAGCTCTCTATGCATGTGGATATCTAGGAATACATTAACTCTTTCAAGCCAGTAGTATTAGCTTTGTAACTTAAAAGCATTTCATTCTAATTAATTCATTAAGGTACTATAGTAACATACTAGGTTACTATTAAGAGCAACAATATACTCCCAAAATACTAAGAAACTCACTTAAAATTCTTAAAAGCTACACAACTTAATGGTTTTCAGCACTGAGGCATTTGGACAACTCAACAAAAACAATTATGATTACAGAATATAAGTGTTACCAGCCTTGAAAATATAAACATAAACATACAGCTGGAACTGGATGAAAGGTAGAAGAGGGTGAAAACCCAGTTTGAGAAGTATGGAATAAATAAGATCCTCATTTTATATAAAGCACTGTATTTTAAAAAAGTATTTTCTATGCTTGATCGAACAAGAAATGAAACTTTAAGTGTGTGGTGTGCTTTTTTAAATAACAGAGTGACTGGTGAGGTAGGCTAGAATAACAAATTATAAAATTTGGAAGAGGGGAAGAAGGGTAAGGGTAGTGTGAAATAAACCCTCATTTACCATAGTATGAAGTCAACGGACAATGTCTGTGAATGGTAAATCAAGACAGAGCAATATATATATTATTGCTAGAAGCCCAAAGAGAAAAAATTATCAGTGGCTGCTTCTGAGAAGTAGAACTACCTATGAAGAGTAACAGGGCAGAAGTCTGTGGCTTTTCATTGTAAGCTCTCCTGTATTCTATGATTTAAAAATTTTTTTTTAAGTATATGTACTATTGCTTAAAAAAAGAAAAGAAAAATATTCAGCCATTGTTCTCTTTCCAATAATTCTCTGTATCTTTAAGTGATCATTCATATTCAACTCAAAAAGTTTTAAATAAAGTACGGATGACTAACACAGACCAACTACAATTACTCCGAGTTCTCAGAGCCTTGCAGTTTTATAATGGTTACAAACAAGGGAAAGCACCTAGCACACATCACTAAACTCTGAACTCTTTTAAGGTCAGAACTGTATCTTTTTCAGCTTAGTCTCCACAGCAGGGACTGGAATCTAGGCTCTGATATACAGAAGAATTTCAATAAACGTTTAGATATAATTTTAAAAGGGGTACAAATTACTAGATCTCTGTCTAGGTCACTTGAATATATAAACTCATCTTTAACATGGCAGACACACAATTTAATAATTATAAATAGTCTTTCTAACAATACTAATTATACTGTCTAATTTTAACTATAGGAACCTGAAAAGCAGTTTCATAGTTTAATTGCTAAAAGCACAAATCTTGAACATACTTTCTGAGTTTTCCTTATAGTTGGTGTCATGTCCTTAAAATAGTCAGGTTCCAGTTGTTCCAAAGCATTTTGCTGTGTTGCCACATTCCCATTCCCTCCTTCAATCTTTACACTTGTGGGCGCATCTTCATCCCAGGAAGTCCACTCTTCAACATCTGTCTAAATTTAATTGATCAATATTGTCAGCCAGATAGGGAGAACCTAATTAGCATCTCATTCGCTGTTTATTAGAAAAATGGGCCTTCTAAAACATGAGGTTTCAAACTTTTTTGATCAACAGAGAAATATAAGTTTTATTTCACATACCAAAACTACATCAAAAGTTTTAAAAAATACTTTTACTCTGAGTTAGACATTCTGTTATATCCATTAAAAAACAAAAAACAAAAAAAACCCAAAAGCAAATGCTTTGAAAATTGAACTAACTACAGTCCACAAAAGGAGGAACTTGCAACCTAAGCCTAACCTGGTTGATTTCCCGATAAAATAAAAAATATCAACATTCTTGATAGGATTTAAGTAAGATAAGAGTCTCAAAAATATTCAAAATGTCCATGAAATAACCCAAAATTATTCAGCACACAAAGAATCAAGAAATCTCAACTCACATGGAAAAAGTCAATCAGCAGACACCAAACCTCAAGGTGATATAAATGCTGGAATTATCTAAGACTTTAAAATAACTATTATAAAAACACTCCAACAAATAGCAAACGCTCTTGAAACCAATAAGAAAAAAACCCAGAAAATCCCAGCAAAACAATAGAAAATAAAGAGCGAAGTAATATTTTAGAATCAAAATATGTAACAAAAATCAAGACCATGACTTCCAAATTAATTTCATGACATACTAAATGATCTGCAATCCAGTCTGAGAAATACGGTTCTGTAACATTTTTCAGCCTTAAAAAAAAAATTACCTGTTTTGGAACTGATGAATAATCAACTGTAGTTGGCAAAGTTATTTGGTCTCCACTTAACTTCCGTCCTCTGCCAGATCTAAAACAAAAATGAAATAATTTATTTCAAAAACTACCAAAACAAATATAGGTAAAAGCACCATGGACAGTAACTTAAGGCTTATAAAAGATCTTTTTCAATTTTAGAATTATTTATTATTAATAATTAACTGTTGCTCATTAAAATATAAATGAAAAGCATGCTTCAGGTATCTTACAAATGTTTTTAAAATCTTGGGCCATACAACACAACTGCTTTTTGGCTTAGGACTAATAACTATACACAAACTCAGGAGGACTATAAGGCCAAAAACAAAAAAATGCACAGTGTGTTTCAAACCATGCTACTTAGATTACTGTGAGTTCTGTAGGTGAAGCTCTGGGACACTTATGCTGTTTTAACCAGGGTGGCTTGGCTTTTGTTTTACATATTTGGTTTCTTGGTAAGATTACCTATTAAACCAATAAAAAGTTTAAAAATCACTGGGTTGAACTAAACTGTAATTGATAAATTTTAAGGATTAGTAGGAAAAGCACTTTATTAAATAAGATAGGTATTATAACTCAGATGTTAAAATCATGGGCTATGGAACCTGTGTAAACCATGATTTTCAATGTTATTTCTATTATGAGTCTAATTGAAATTACCTAACCTCTCAGCTTCAATATCCTCATCTGTAAAATGTCGGTATTCAAACCTACTTTTGTAGGATTGTTGTGAGGATTTAATTAAGTGATAATATCTAACGCAGCTAGACACTAGACAGTACCTGCCATATAACAAGACATTTTAAAAAAGGTAGCTATTCCCGGCTGGGCATGGCTCAGTGGTTGAGCGTCGACCTAGGATCCAGGCGATCAGGGTTCAATTCCTGGTCAGGGCACATGCTGGGGTTGTGGGCTCGATCCCCAGTCAGGGGCGTGCAGGAGGCAGATGATCAATGACTCTCTCATCATTGATGTTTCTATCTCTCTCTCTCCTTCTCCTTTCCTTTCTCTGAAATCAATAAAGATATATTAACAAAAAAAAATTTTTTTTAAATAGGAAGAATAAAAAGGTAGCTATTATAAATGATTAGTCACTTCATTTCAAATAATCTATAAGGCATCTACTTAGATCTAATTGCTAAAGGACAAAGAGAAAAATAATAGTCTACTACTAAATGTATGATGTAAACCTGGTATTTTAGAACACATAATCTAGGTTCCTTCTGACACTTAAGAAAAGCTTATTCTAGAAAGGGGTTCATTTTCTTAAAAACTGAACATATAATCAATCCTAAATATATTTACATTGACAACAAAAATGTCCTTAATATTTTTTAATCAAATGCAATTTTTTATACTAAAAGTAATCTATATTCAATACAAGTTTTAGAAAATACAGATTCAAAAAGAAAAACACTATAATCTTCACTACCATTAACACAATTACTTCTTTTAAACTCTGGCCTTCTGGCAATTAATATCCATTCTAATCTGCTTTACCTGGCCATTGTCCTCATGCTATCAATGATTTTGAGTACTTTTTCCTACTTCCCAAATCCTGTCCTCTTCCCAGGTGATTTCAACAATCACCTAAATTTCCCATTTCTTGCTTGACCTGTCCTCTAGCAATCATCTCCATTCATTTCCATTGCCAAATCTTAGACTTTTTTTTTTAATCCCAAACCACTCTAATTCTAACAATAAATTCAATGACACTTTAACCCAGAGTTTTAGTAGCTATAAAATGGCCATTTTGCTAGAGAATGCATTCCCAAGGTCCCTTGCAGCTAGGTGGCCATATATAAAGCTCTGGACAGTACACTGAGAACAGAATTGCTCTGTGCAACTTTTAAGTCATGTCCATTAAAAAAGAGAGCTGACTGCCCTCCAATTCCTCTTTTACTCTACTCTTAATGTGCCAGTACTTTTTTACAGTACCCTTAGGCCAAAAGAAATACCCAACAGTTCCACTGATTATATAGGTAGGTCCACACAATTTGCCACTTATATATGTCCTAACTGCTTAGTAGCCATTTGAAAAAATAATACATATCAATTTAAAGAAAAAAAATTTTTTATTTCATTCTTAACCAGTTACTTACTAATGGAATATGCATGCCTGTTGGACATTGTACAACTTTCCAAGCCTTGGAATCATTTTCTGTTCTACATTAATTTTGGTTCAGTACTTGCTTTCAATTACAACCTAAAATCCTAGCTTTGCAAGGATAAGTCACCAAAAATACAAGTAAACAAAAGCTTATCTCAAACATTCAAGAATATCATCAAAAGTAATGCTACAAGATCTAACGTTGCAAACATGAACTACCTTGAGCCAGTAGTTTGTGCAGAGTTTAAAAGATATTGACTATTACATTCATCGTGTTTTGCTGAAAATATCCTGTGGCACTCCTATGAGCTTAATGTGAAGCTCTGAAGTGCCTTAGCACACAGTTTAGAAACTATAGTTCTAGGGTACAAAAGTGTGAAAAGAGAATTCCAGTCTCTGGATGGCTTACTGAAGCAGAATGACTTATCTGCCCTAGGCTACCTGTACATTTTGGACACTATTTCTATATTATTTATAGAAATACCTATGCCTAATTCCACCTAACCATCTTAAGACATTATGATAATGAAACAATTTGTATACATAAAACCCTCTGATAATTTTAATAATGAAAATTGTTATGCTTATTTCTGATATTCTAGAGTATTAGGAATGTTATTTTAATGGCGTATGAAAGAATTGGAAAGAAAAAAGATCTGAAGTGGAGAAAAAATATTTTAGAAATAACAGAGATTAGTGAAAAAATACTATAATCAAGATATTTAGTTTAAATATAATCTGTCCTGCTGTTTTATAGTTATGAAGGTATGCAATCAGAAAGAAGATAAACATCAATTTGAACAAAAAATTTGTTTACCTGCATATTAATCTTTTTAGGAATGAGAATAATGTTGCTAAACAGGTACAAACTTTAAATAACCGAAACTGTGTGATAGCCATGATGGGAATCAAAACCTGTGGAAAAGGCACAAAAATAAATGCATTAAGTTGATTTCATAAGCTATATTCCTGTTCTGAAGTAAAGCTTAAAAGTCCTATTATAAGCTGTGAAAACCAGGCATATTTTTAACTTTTCTTTATAAACCATAAATATAGCACAGTAAATTTAAAATTAAAATGTAAATCATGGGAGGTCTAGGATGGTGGTGGTGGAGGACACTGAACTCACTCCACCCCTGCCCATGAGCAAACTCAAATATATACATATATAGACAACAATGATTCCTCTACAGCTGAGGGCTGAATGAACAGCTTCTGAACAATAAGAAAGAGACCAAATAGGGCTGGGAAGACATGGGAGCCCTCAGGAGCTGCAGTAACTCTTGTGGTCAAGAGCAGCCAATAAGCACCATTGTTTAAGTTTCCCTGCACTTCCATAGGGTGGGTGGGAGCTCTATTCCTGGGCTTTGGATTACAAGCAAGATCACCACAGCTGTTCCCAGGTACACTGCCCTAAGCCTTTTACCTCCTCAACAATGGGATCAAGCAGAAAAAACAGGGTGTCACCCCAAAAAACACTAAAGAAAATTAGCAAGCCACAGGGAAGAGATCAAAAGAAGAACAGAAAACTACCAAAACAAAAAAACAATTAACAGAATAGCAGTAAGTACATACTTATCAATAATCACTTTAAATGTAAATGGATTAAATGTTCCAAATGTAAATGGATTAAATGTTCCAATAAAGATTTACGGTGGCTGAATGGATTAAAAAACATGACCCATCTATATGCTGCTTACAAGAGACTAACTTCAAATATAAAAACACATACAGAATGAAAGGGAAGGAATGGAAAATAAAAAGATGGTGTAGCAATACTCATATTAGATAAAATAGACTTTAAAACAAAAAATGTATAAAAAGACAAATAAGGATATTACATAATTATAAAGCAGTCAATCCAAGAGAAGGCTATAATAATCATAAATATGCACCCAGCATAGGAGCACTGAAACTATCTGCAATTATTAATGGTCACCAAGGGAGATATCCACAGTAATGCAATAATTGGTGATGATATTATAATTTCCAAGATAAATTTTCCAACCAGTTGTACTGAAGTAGGGAGAATGCAATCAAGTTAACTATCAAGCAACACTTGATTTTATCAATTACAGTGGTACCTCGGTTTTTGAACGTCTCAGTTGTCAAACATTTCGGTTTACGAATGCTGTAACCCCAGAAGTAAAGAGTTTCTGAACATGCCTTGGAAGTTGAACATGCCACGTGGCATCCGCTGAGGGCAAGATCCTGGGGCCTAGCTGTCAGCTGTTGATCCCCTGGTTTTCGATCATTTCAGAACTTGGAACTGTCTTCCGGAACGGAGTACATTCGAAAGTCAAGGTACCACGGTACACTGATTTGCAGACAGGAATATTCTTTGGGACTCATTTACTTAATGCTCCAATTCAACTCAATTCAATTCAATTCAATGAAAATATATATTTAGCACCTACTGTGCAACAGATTCCACCAAGGATGACAGGAAACACTACTGACCAGTACTGAGAAACTCTATGCTCACTGCTCGTGACAATGCAAGAGAGGGAGGCAGAGCCCCCACCAATCTCGCTCAGTTTAACATTTTAGGTCTTAGCCAATGCCAAGCATATAGCAGGTGATTCAGATATTTGTTGAATGGAAGACAATTAACATTCCTTGAGCATTCACTATGTTCAAGACATAGTTCTAGACCAGTGGTTGTCAACCCTTTTTATCTCATGGCACACATTCACTAATTACTAAAATTCTGCAGCACACCAAAAAATATTTTTGCCAATGTGACAAAAGAAAAAAAAATAGGTGTAATTTTTATTTACTCACACCAGGTAGCTATTGTGGTGTTGGCTACTGTCATTTTTTCTATTTGACAATCTAAGGGAAAAGAGGTCAGTGCCCCTGACTAAATAGTCAGGCAGTCCACATTTTAAAAATTCTTGCAGCACACCAGTTGAAAATTACTGTTCTAGACAATGTATGTTCTATCACCTCACTGGAATCTTAAGAACAAATGAGGATGACAGTGAAGCTCAGATCCACTCACCCAGAATTTAAAGAGACTGAACCCAAAGCTCTCCCCACACCAAATTCCATTTGGGAAACCTGTCATTTTATACTCACTGCCTCAGTTTGATTTTTGGAATGGCCTTTAGGTCACCAACTTGATAAGCATGCATCTTACGTCAACTTGCACTTTGGTTGCTTCAAAGTATTATCTAGAACTAAGAAATGCTAATATCATCTAATTTTAAAATTAAGATGTCATTAAAAACTACTAGAAAAACTTGAGATAAAGCAGAATAAGTTTCAGAACCACAAGCAACCAACCCTCAGGGCTTTTGTAGAAATGAAACGTCTAGGAAATCAAAAGGAACGACAGACGCGTCAGCTACGTCAAGGGAAAAAGACTCACCTGCAATTAAAAAAAAAGAAGAATTCTGCATCAGAAATTGAAAGATTAAATTATCTGTCCTCCCTGTCATTCCATGTAAGCTGCTGGCAAGACCCTTTGAGTAGTCGCCGTATCACAATTTGTCGAACAAGTCAAGCCACCATAGTCTATGCTGGTACACGCTGGAGCAAACAAGTCACCAATCGCTGTATTTCTAAAACTATACATTTCGAATTTTCTTAATACCCACACTTGCAAAACCGTGCGATCTAAGACAGTACACAACACCTTCAACGAAGTTTGCAACTCTCTTAAGTAGGTTTAAGAAATATCACAAGGTTCCAAACATAAAAGTCACAGGGACGCACTTAAATGTCAAAAACCAAAGTCGGGCAG